ACTGCTCAGTGGGTAAACTGTTGTTTGTCTCCATAACAGTGTAAAGTCCTGACCCTGGTATGCAGCACCAGCTGTTTTCATCTGACATGATGCCACATAAGTAAAGCTGGAGATGTACCGCCGATTAACCAATCACGGGACTTAATGAGAGGTCAGGACCACTGACCAAAAACCTGACATTCCCCTTCCCAGGAACAACAGTATCACAACTGTTTGTTGTTCCCACTTCACGGCGATATGCCACGCCACAAACAAACACATGAAACCATTGTGCTAAAATCTTTTTTTCAAAACTGGTTTTATCATAATGCTAATGCTGTAGCCAGTGAGCTGTCGGTGTAACCTTTGGCTTTTCTCTAGTTTCATGTTTCTGGCCCCGTTTGCAGAAGCAGAAGGCAGAGCGTCGCTCTCTTTGCTTTTATATTCATGTCATTGTTGTTTAACATTTATTAGCTGAAACTTTGACTTCACATTCACATATTTGAATACTGCCCCTGGGTATTTAAGTTTGCTAAAAACTATGTTGTTATGAAACAGAATGATTAACAGGGTACCTCACTTTTTCTAGATATTTTAATAACCCCGCCGCTTCATGAATTATCATGGCACATGTGTTTTTGTTGAAAATGATTCAGAAACATACCTCTAGGCTAACGGTTGTTTGGCCCTAGAACACGATCGATGGAGCGCTGCATCACTAATGCTGTTCTTTAGTTAAGCTAAACCTACTTGTGCTGAGATGGAGCTTAGAGTCTGTGGAGTCATGATGGATCGTATGTTCTCATGAAGCTGGTTAGTTTGGATGTGATTCCACACTGTGAATGAGTGTCGGGAAGAAAAGCCACCGACCGTACCTGTGCTCCTTTGGACCCAGGTTCACCTCTCTCCCCCTGATGACACAACACTGAGTGTTAGAGCACGCCCACGTTACACTGTGGCGACAGCGCGAAGACTTAACCAGAGAGAAACAACATGTGCTGTGGATTGCACACTGCGCATCAAACACAGCCGTATGTTCTGGATCAGGGCTGTTTATTGTGTCTTTATGTGTCTGGGCATCTGCTTTTGAAGTGTGAAGGACAACCTTCAGCACCATTAAAATTAATCATGTCATCTAAGCACAGTATGAATAATACATCAACAAGCATGTATTATGTTACGCTGTCAACATTTCCACAGTACAGCTTGTAAATCATGTAAGCTCCTGACAGTTAGAGCCATAAATCATTCATCAAGTGCTGCCTCTGCTGCCTTTTCAAGACTTCATTATGGACAAATAAACCATGTTTTTTTGTATGTAATTACACGAGTTGACTCTCACCTTATGACCTTTGAACCCTGGCAGACCCATGGCCCCTGGCAGCCCTGGAACGCCTGGTTCTCCACTTGATCCCTGAGAGGATGAACATTTCAGTGATGTGGGAGAAAAGAAAAGATGCAGAGAATGTAAACCAGGTCTGTGATTGTTTGGTGTCCAGCACAGAGCCGACACATTAACCAGGATCTTTGGAACGTGGTCAATAAATACCTCGGGCTCCAGATAATCATCAGCGTAGGTAAACGTGGCTTATAAAGATATCTGAGCGAAGACATTTCAAGTGTTCCTTTGCTTGTGAAATTATCATTTCTAAAATGCTGAAGCAAATTGTGCTTTGAAGGATGACACCTTGGAAATAACAAAGGTACCTGTAATTAAGCAGCAAAGACAACTTGGGTTCTTTTTTTAAACGGTTGACATTTGTGGGCGTAATTCTTCAGTAACATGTTGCTTAACGAACAAGCGACATAAAAAGTGCTGCTGTCACTCAGCAGGAAGATCTAGGCTGGTGAAATAAGTACGAGCTGACAGCAGGAATGTGGGTTCATGCTGAATTATCAGACTGTCACCTTTATGTAGGCTGGAACTGCTGGAACTGGGAGATTGTGCAAATATCGTCATGTTTGCTGTATCTTTGTGTTAGGCAAACACAGATGAAACTTCACTTTATGTTGCTATTGTGTTTGAACCTCAAACACCGAATGCTTAGGTTTAGGATTAGGAAGCAAAACTACTTGGTCAGGTTTGCTTCATGCTTCAAAAACACAAATATATTATAAACATTTTCTTGTGAGTAGATTGGCCTGTTAAGTCCACAATGCAACAAGCAAAGCATGGACATGTGGATTGAGCCCTTGGTTAAAAAAAACTGGTGAAGTCGATGTCTTGTTTTAATAATATATTAATGAACTGAATTCATTTCAACACTAAACTATTCATAGACATGTGAGACGTAATCTGATGAAGTAATAAATACATTTAGCATTATTGTACAATTTTGAGTCCACTTGTGCCGCAGGACCCACCAAAGCACATTGGAGGCCTGAATATCAGGCAGTGTGTTAATGTTTATACTTGTGCAGATCAACAGACGTCTCATCTATCATCACGTTTTTGTATTTAACCTCAGCAGGAGTCTGCAGAACAGGTCATGGGGACATGTCAAAATAATAAAACAACAAAAAGTGTTAATAGACCCAACAGCGACTAAAAAAACAGAAACATAATAGAAAATGCTTAAAATGGCCTTTTTAGCAACGCTAAGAATGACGTTATATGGCAGTGCTTAACAGAGTTACTAGACCACCTGTCATAAAAACATTCAAGAAACCCCAAATATATTAGAAGAAAAAAAGAATTGTTTAAAACTGAAAATGATATTATTTATTAGGCAAATAACAAAATGAAACCAGTAAGCAGTCCTTATTTTCATATAATAACCATAAAAGTTATATTATACATGCCTTCCTTTGGCCTTGATAACAGCTGTCATTACTGCTGGCAGCGTTTTTTGGACTTTCGATAGTATCGTTTATCATTAAGGTCCAAATAGTTCCAGGCTGTTCCCGGACGCTGGCTTGTTTGCTATCTCTGAATCCATTGCATCTCAAATCTGTGGATTCAAGTCACACTTCCATTTCCAGTGTTCCTTTTTACTGGTCAAATAGTCTTTGGAAAGCTTTGAAGTACGCTTGAGGTCATTGTCTTTTTGGTATATGTACCATGACCTTCAGTTTGAGACTAGGGCTACGTCCACACGTACACGGGTATTTTTGAAAATGGAGATTTTCCGTTTTCGTTTTAAAAAATAATCCCGTCCACACGTAAAGGCAGAAATGAAGGAAAACGCTGCTATGAACATGCCAAAGCAGCAGGTGGCGCTATATTCCTAACCGTGTAGAAATGTTGGCCAATCAGAAGTCTAGAAGCCTCGGTGGGAAATAGTAAACAAAGATGGGGCATAGAAGCAGAACCAGTCGTCTGTGTGGACGGACAGTAACTGTGTGTATATGTAAGCATTTAAACACTGCAGAGAGTAGAATTAACAGTAACAGTATTGTAGAAATTCATTTCACCGAAACAATAACGTGGCGCACAGTGTGACGTCAAAAAAGGCGCACACCTTTGACGCTGCGTTTTCTCCGTTTTCTCCGTTTTCTCCGTTTTCCTCGTCCACACGTAAATGCAAAAACGGAGTTTTCAAAAATATCCACCCTGGCAGGCGTTTTTAAAAAATCTCCGTTTTCAGTGAGCGAAGACGCCGTTTACGTGTGGACGAAAGGTGCAAACGCATAGAAAAATCGGCGTTTTCAAAAACACCTGGGTACGTGTGGACGTAGCCTAGGAGGGCATGCCATGATGCACTGAGATGCTGTGTTGGACCTTCTGGTTCATTATACCTTCAGTTTTCACTCATTTGCTCTCACTGTTTACATAAACGGCTTTTTTGTCGACATAAGCGCAACACAAAGGTAGCCCCCCACTCACCGTCAGGCCTGGTGGACCAACAGGACCAACCACTCCTGGATCTCCACAGCTCCCCTAAATGAAACACACACAACATCCGTCTGAGCGTACTGCTGAGGGTCATCTGTTACCCACATTCTCAGCTCTGATGCAGTTTTTGAAGATCAAGACAGGCACAAGGGTCATGGAGGGCACATCAGTGCATGGCTGCTATTTGCATTCATATAGCTGCACATGCTGCAAAGGAGATGAGTGAAGGTGAATATAAATCACACAGCACAGTGATTCATCACAATCCTCTCAGCCAGTCCCATTACTGTTCTCGTCCCTGTTAACCAGCTGTGCTAATCAGAGTAGCACATCACAAAAGTGTCTGACTAAATTTAGAGGACAGAGAGCTTTTCCAAGCACCAGTGCTGTCAGTGCCAATGTGGGAATTTGAGTATTACAAACACTGTGCTGCTTGCAAGCACTATTTTAATGCTGCAGCTGGTCGATATGGAGTTGATTGCGCTTACTTTTATGCCGTCTTCAATCGCAGAACTGAATTAGCTGAAAGAGGTTTTATGTGCTGCACCTTCTGTTTGGAAGCTTCACCAAGCAAAACTACAAAAGTTGCTTCCTTTTTAGGAGCCTTATGTTTTCTTAAGGATACAATGTGCATAATTTATATGACTACATTTTCACATTCACTTCACATTGTCATCCTATATTTAAAGAAATAGAGAGAAGCGTGATATTCAAACCTTTCTCAGAATCTTACAGTTTCCTGGTCATGTTTGTGCTGAAAATGTTAATGTATAAGAGGTGTGTGCTGTAGGCATCTACAGTGGCTAACAATAACACTAGCTAACACTAATATTGCTTTCCCATTGCACCTCTACTATAGTAATCACTGCCACAACTGTGCTTGAGTACAGCACAGTAACAAATGAACTCAGTCATCTGTTTAGCTTGATTGATGAATTTAAACGTAATCTTAGACCTCGCGGTCACATCCACTGGTTTCAAGCAGAACAGTGATTTGGTTATAGTCGTCTAAGCGTTCACACGGTCACACTGTGACGAGTGAGAGACGGCTCAGACTTGTGCTGTTTGGCAGGGATTTCAAATAAAATTCAATCTTTAAGTTAACGTGTAAAAGTTCCTCTCAAGGATCAGTTACTACTTTAGAAACATGGCAGCACAACATATCTGGCTTTGTGAAAGGAGAACTCAATAAATAGCTCATGATCTGCATACTTACATCTATAACAACATGATTATGAATCTCAAACAATTCTACTAACAGATGCCCCTGAATCAATACAAACTAAGCAGACTGTCCAACCCCAGCTCCTCGTTTCTCATCACGTGTTCCTGGTATATTAAGAGGCCCTCGGAAGTTTCCAGGAATTTAATGGGGTGATGCGAAGGCAAGGAGGCCTTCACCTGCATTCACTGTGCATGTAAGCCTTTACAACAAATATACTGGGCTCAGTACAGACTGCTTTAATGATACAAGTCTAATCTCACTGACTAATGTCTATTTATGTTGCCTTACAGATAGGTTGGCATGACCACTTTATCAAGCAGCATTTTCCTGCTCAGCACAACAGCAAAGAAGCCATTTTCACCTTGATATGCATGAAATCATCTTCTACCCCTCCTTTCCTTCCATCTTTGTGCCATGCATGCTGTGCTGAGTATACAAATTCCAAAGGGCTAGGAAATATGCATTTCAAGGTCAGAGAAATATGAACGTGTCCTCATGCCCCCTGTGCTGGTCTCTGTGAGGAGCCTCAGACTGATCTCATTTCTGAAGCTTTTTCACACAAGTTTAAAAAAAAACTGTTTTTGATTTTGAACAATCTGGTTTGAATTTGTCTCTTTGAAATTATCCAACTTTACACAAGTGCAATAGCAATTAGGCTTGTGTAATTTGTGTATAAGCACCTAAATGAGTTCATAGTGTGAAGCCTAATTCTGCACAAATGCTTTCGCTGTAAAGAAATTTGAGTATCTGCACATTAAGAGTCAAAAGTATGAACCATCTTTGGCATTTATTCAGAAACATCTACACACTGATTCCAAACAGTTTGACTCCTGCTTAGAAAAATGCGCTTTTCTCCACGGGAACATCAAGAGGAGAGGAAGGGTGCAACATCAGAACGGGCTGAGAATAGCCAAGCGGCTGGGGAGTAGCAGGCCATTAGCATAATAACTAATTAAAAACATTCAACACACAGACCTTGGGACCATCTCGGCCAATCTCTCCAGGCGGCCCCCGGGGCCCTGGGGCTCCCTGGATGGAGACAAACATTAGGGGGAGGGGGAGCAGGATGGGGGTGAGAGAGCAAGGGAAGGAGGAGGAGAGAGAGAGAGAATGAGATGAAAGAGACAGACACAGCGCTTTGGGCTGAATGTGACAGAGTGCGTGACGGCTTAGTCAGGAGGCACTGAGGGAGAAATGAGATGGCTCAGGTCCACTCACACCAGGAACACACACACACACACACACAGGGCATCTACATTTGGACAGTGGTGTGCGTAAACACACACAGAGTTTGCATATTCAACAAAGCATTCTGCTGTATCAAGAGCGCAGCTTGAAGCTGTGTGTTAGCTGCTCTATCTTCCCACATGCCTTCACAACAGGAAAAAAAACACAAATAAATTCTACTGTCCTGAAATATGCGAGACTGTAAGGGAGGAACAGGCAGCAGAGCTCTTTTATTAACAGTCAAGATAGGAAAAGGCAAAAAAATACCCAATACACTTATCGCTGTTACTGCTGATTCGTGTGTCTGCAGATACAGGCTGCAGAAACGGAGCTGGAATTGATCTGTTTCTAACTCTGTTATGTGTTATGCTATTCCAGTAAATATCTGTTTATTGTCAAATAGAAATTTGATGTTTTACTTTGTATTATTTAAGTTTCTCCATATATTCTGGATCATCCATTGAATGTAAAAAGCAGTGATTGCACGTGGATATGCTGATGTCACAAAACCAACTCCCAAAATTTGGGATACTTTGTAAAATGCAAACATGATGGGTGCATTGGGGGTGATTTTAGTTATGTCGAAATCCGCATCCTACGTGGGCCATCAGCTGTCAGCTCAGAGTTACTGTGTGTTTGCAGACAAATGTGAAAATCTAGTGTCAACCCTGCAACTCTGCTCGCAACCAGAACAAGGAGGTTTTTGGTGCAGCACCTTCTGTGCAAAGATTTTGTCCAGCAAGCCAGCAACCTCCAAAACCAGTGCCCACCAGTCTGGGAATGACATTTTTCTTTTGGAACATCTCAAATATTATCCCCACCTGGCCAGTGGGAAAGAATGCAGGCTTAAGGTACTTCACCTGTCACAACCAGAGGCTACCTGAATGTATTTACTTATCCAGCAAGTTGGAGGAAACACATGACTGTACATGATATATAAGGAGCCAAAGCACAAACAGGCACATTGGAAATGCCAAACATAATGGGTGTCAACTGGGTCAGCTAACAGTAAGTTTGAAATCTCTGTATATTTTATAATCACAAGAATGTATGTGGTTGCCTAGTTACAAGGGGTGGCTCATCCCGCCCACACACTTTCCTCCTCCCTCTTGACTCAGTGTGCGTGTATTTGTGTGTATATGTGTTGTGCGTGTCAGATAAGTCAGAGGCCCACTGCAGGCATAACGTCATAGCTGGGTTCTGTTGTACTGACACAAATAGGAAGAGGAGGATGAAGACTCAAAGATGAAGCTGGTGGTTGTGGAAAGGTGACCTTTGTGCAGCCTCACATTGTAGAGCAGTCTGCAAAAAACAGACCAATGCAGAAAATATCTGCCATTAATCTCATGTCTGATTCAGTTTTCTGCAGTGTAGATGTGTCCTTAGGTCTCAGCACGATTCACTGAGACCCTCCCTCACTCCAGCTGTACTGTCCCACTCTGGCCATAGGAGGGTGACAAAGCTGTGAACAACGTGTCCAGCCATTATCACTGAGCAGCGTGTGCTCTCCAGGCTCTGCTGTAATTGCATTTCTCTGTGTGTAATCTTGTTTACCAGAGGAGGGGTCTCCATACTGTGTGTACAGCTATAACCCACAGCACATGCTGGTCTGACTTTTGGTCTACAGCAACAGGCACTTGCAGCTTTAATGATATTGCCAAATAAATCAGTGAATGGATTCATAAGGATCCGTGGCTAAATTAATGATCTCATTATGAGCTAACCGCAGGGACGGTAGTGTTCTGGAGATGGCACACATAAAACTGCACAAAGACTCATTCTGAGTGCGAAATATTTTGTTTTGCAGACACATATGGTGAAAAAATGAGGTTGGACACTGTGATTCTAAAAGTAGGAGCCCCTATAGACGAGAGAAAAGCTAAGACAAATGTTTTGCTGTGATTGCACTTTTACAAAGTAGCCTAAGGAACTATGTTCACTGTGGTATTAATATCTTAAACTCTGAGGTTTGCAACCCTATATGGTAAATGGTAAATGGCCTGTATTTTTATAGCGCTTTTCTAGTCCCTAAGGACCCCAAAGCGCTTTACATATCCAGTCATCCACGCACACATTCACACACTGGTGATGGCAGCTACATTGTAGCCACAGCTGCCCACTGACAGAGGCGAGGCTGCCGGACACTGGCGCCACCGGGCCCTCTGACCACCACCAGTAGGCAACGGGTGAAGTGTCTTGCCCAAGGACACAACGACCGAGACTGTCCGAGCCGGGGCTCGAACCAGCAACCTTCCGATTACAAGGCGAACTCCCAACTCTTGAGCCACGATCGCCCCATATATTTTTAAAAGAACAGCAATAAGGTCTTTTTCTGTAGGAATACTAAACAGCTGTTGATGTGTGTCAGTTTAAATGATTAGAGCATTTATCCCCTAATTGCCAAAACTTTGGAGAATAATTTTATATATGGTGTATCTCAGCGGTCTCCAACCTTTTTTGCGCCATGGACCGGTTTATGCCCGACAATATTTTCACGGACCGGCCTTTAAGGTGTAGTGGATAAATACAACAAAATAAAACTAGTACTGGTACCGAAAAAAAGAAGATTTATTCATAACACACGTGAAAAGACCCAGGAAAACAGAGTCAATGAGAAAAACGATAACAAAATAACGCTGAACACAGATAAAAACCCTGAAAACCATACATTTCACACCTGAGCCTCAACTCTCACGGCCCGGTACCAAACGACTCACGGACCGGTACCGGTCCGAGGCCCGGGGGTTAGGGACCGCTGGTGTATCTGACATCCTTGTGTTGGTGTTGTTCCTGCATCATTTTATTAACCACCAGGGTCAACATTGCAATTAACCAATCATGTTGTTGTTGCAATTTTGCATGAGGAAAAAATGTGTTTATATAAAATTAACTTCTGCAACAAATGGTAAGCAATCAAGTTACTGTTGCAGGTTACATTTGTCATGCTGGTTTGCTAGTGATAGCTTTTAATAGCATTAGCTAGCTTGTTGGATAGCATTAGCTAGCTTCTGGGCTAATGCTAACTGAATACTCAGACAACTTGATTGATCAGTTGCAAAGTTGATCCAGTAGCCCATACGGAGAGGGTCATCACTGACCTTAACATGCATCAGGTTTCAAGTGAACATATTAAAGATAGCATTCAAGCTAACATCTACCCCTTTATAAGGAATTTTTGTGTATTTGGCGTATGCAATCAGAAATCTTTGAAGAGCTTTAAAGGCAGAATGCATGCAAGGGACTTTTTTTAAAAGCTGTAGTCTCTGAAACCTTTTTATTTAACGTGGCTACCCTAATCATATCCCTGAGTGATTTATTGGGCGACCTGAGGGATGTTCATTAGTTAACAATGTCCTAATTTGCTGTGAATACTTGAAGAAACATTTTAAAAAGTGGAAGCAAATGAAAAGAGATGTCATACTAACCAGTGTTCCCTTTATTCCAGGGGGACCTTGTGGGCCAGGCAACCCCTTTTCACCCTAAATGCAAGAACACAAGAAATGAGTTAAGGTCACCAACTTGTGTCACCAACAGTTCTGACACGAGTTAGTTTCAGAGTTTACCAGAGGTACCTGTTGACCTGGTTCACCAGGAGGTCCCCGCGCCCCCTGTGGATTACAGTAACAGAAGGACATGATTACATGAAGCTGTATTTAGTCTTCAGCTCAGCTTCAGTGAACTGCATTTTATTTTTGTTCAAAACATTGACATGCAAAGCTAATGTGACAATGATGTAGTAACTGTCTACAGATGTCAAATAAAGATCGAGTTTATATTTGAAACTGTGAAACGGTGGGAGCCAGTGTCTGATGATGAAATATGGGCTTTGTTATGACAGTTTTCTAAATAATTCCACTGCTGCTTCACTAAATATGTAAATTGTATAGAGGACATATATATTGCTCCAAATGTTCCTGTATTCTCACCATCTTAGTGATTCATCATCACTGGCTTTGAAAGCTTGAAAATCGTGTGTCATCAGAAGGAGCAGCTGACAGAACGTTCGCCTTGAGCTCCGTCTGTTAGACTCTTTTTGTTAAAGCCTTTGCAGAATGAGTGAGAGCTCCAGACCGAGCGGGCGAACAGATCTTGAATAGAGAACTTTTTTTGTAAACTGCTGTTTCAGAGATTAAACGTAAGCTGTCCAGCTCAAATAAGGTTCTGCTGTTGTCACTACAGCTGTCTGCATATGCAGGAGGCAACTGTTCACGTTCCAGCATTCAAGCATTCAGCTCACGCTGGTGTTCATCTTCCACTACAGCTAACAGTGGTGGTTCTTGGATTCTGCTTGGAAAAACTTTGTAGATATAATAATTTAACCTGATTGAGGTAATTATCACTAGGTGGTTACGTTACACAATGCTCTGATTAAAGAGATGCAGAATTATTGAAGCACTGACTTCCCACCTGTTAAGTGTGCACTGGTGTATCAGCATACTTTGGATTCCCAGTGTGAATCTTTACTGATGCAGATAAATTTGTTGTGGTTGTGTAAGTGTGTAATAGAGTCAGCTGTGTAAAATAAGGCTGATAAATGTGGACACAGGCAGGTGTGTGACATACAGGCTTTGATTCAGAGACAACATCAGGGCCATCTCATCAAAAACACATCCTGTTTGCTTCCTGTCGTCTTTCCTAATCTTTCTACGTGGAAGTGTTTTAGTATTTCAGCAACTGGTTTAACTCTTTCCCCGATAAAGACCACATTAGACAATAACTTTAACAGGCATTCAAGAGAGAAAGAGTTAAGGTACCAATAAGATGGCCAGGGAGACAACAAGTACTCTAACCTTAAAACCAATACATAAACACAAAGAGTGAAGCGGGTCCTGCATTAGAACATTCATCATTCTCATCCATCTTTCAACAATGCCGCGAGCCTGAAACACCATCATACTTTCACCTTGAGGTGAGCAGAGGGCCAAACAGGGAAAGGGTGGAATGACAGATGGACTGAGAGACAAGAAAAGTGCTGCAGCACAAACAGCTTTGATATATCGCAGGTGCACAGAGATTAGATTCATATGTTAGTAACCACAGCTGGAACAGGAAAAACAAGCCGATACCACATAGAGACGTGTTGGAGAATCACGCCTAACTTGCAGCATGGTATCGCACTCGTTTCCTCAAGGATAGCATCGATTTCAGTGTTGTACCAAGTTCTGTTTCAGATTAACCTTTATGATGGAGACATTCATGTTTTTGTACTTGACAGGTCTTCCTTTGATTAAAGGTCAAACACTGGGTGCAACAGTACTGCCTGTACTAGCATATCGCTCTGTAAATATATGAATAAAATGAATGAATATCATTTTAGAACAGACGTTGGCATCTAGAAAAGGACCTAAAGCTGGATTCTGGGGTAACACCGACGGTCAGGTCACCAAACTGGGAGGATGAGTTTGGTGAATCAGGAGGAGGAGAGTGAAGCACGTTACTCTTTAACTGTTGACCTGATGGTTGGTTAGCAGAACTATTTCTTATTAGGAGCCAGATTCATTTAAGCATGTGACAAATTACTTTGCTTTTGACTTCACATGGCTTCACATTCTGACCACACAGAAGCTCAGAGAAGCTTTGCATGTCTAATAAAGAGTTTTTAGCAAAGTTCCAATAAATTTTATTAATGAAAGCATCCTATAACTCACAAGCAATCCTATTTATTCAGCCAAAGAAGACTAAAGAAAATCACCTTGAGCCCAGCTGTCATCACTAAAGATCTTATGTGTCTATAGCCAGTGTTGGGGAGTAACGGAGTACATGTACCGCCGTTACATATTTAAAATACAAAATATGAGTAACTGTATCCGTTACAGTTACCGTTTAAATAGGTGGTATTCAGAATACAGTTACTTTGTTGAAATAAATGGATTACACTGCGGTACTTTCCTGTTTCATATTGTCGCGGGTCAGGACTGTTTGGTTTTGTTTGACAGCTACGTTCTGTTGTTCCAGGCGGCAGCGTTACGGTTGCCATGGTTACAGGGTGACTCTCTCTCTCTGCGACTGTGTGTTTCCTGGGTGAGAGAGCGCCTTTTTCGTTGTTGTTGTTGTTGTTGTGCTAAGCTAACAGGCAGAATGCTACAAGCATAGCTCTAAAGAATGTAGCATCATGGGCAGTGTAGTCCGTGCTGCAGGGAGAATGGACTGCCATACACGTTATGGGTCTGTGAGCGAGGAGGGAGAAAAAGGGGAGTGGAAAGGTACGAGCAGTCATCGAGCAAAAACGGGAGCTGGAAGCATGTAAATATAATAATAACCACTGCAGCCAAGAAGAGTGCCTGACGAGCCCAGTTGTAAGTAAGCTATTAAGACTCGACTGTACGCTGTGTTCGTGTTTTCCTCCGAAAACAATACGTTCCGTTGGAGCAGCCTTTCAACGCCTCGGGGGTGATTGTGGCTCAAGAGTTGGGAGTTTGCCTTGTAATCGGAAAGTTGCCGGTTCGAGCCCCGGCTTGGACAGTCTCAGTCGTTGTGTCCTTGGGCAAGACACTTCACCCGTTGCCTACTGGTGGTGGTCAGAGGGCCCGGTGCCGCCAGTGTCCGGCAGCCTCGCCTCTGTCCGTGCGCCCCAGGGTGGCTGTGGCTACAATGTAGCTGCCATCACCAGTGTTTGAATGTGTGCGTGGATGGGTGGATGACTGGATATGTAAAGCGCTTTGGGGTCCTTAGGGACTAGTAAAGCGCTATATAAATACAGGCCATTTACCATTTACAGGCCTCTCTCTGTCTCTCGCAAGAAAAGTTGACCCACACAACAAAGTAAAGCGATTTTTCGGCTAAGAGCCGACAGGGACCCCGCCGTATTAGTCAGAGGTGCCTTTACTACAGTTCGGAGTCGCGGACCTTCAGTAATAGTAATAAATCACACAGCAATAGTACATTCACGTTGTTGTAAAAAGTATGATAATATATTAAGTAATCCAAAGTATTCAGAATACGTTACTGTTATTGAGTAACGTAACGGAATACGTTACAGAATACATTTTGGGGCATGTATTCTGTATTCTGTAATGGAATACATTTTAAAAGTAACCTTCCCAACACTGTCTATAGCTAGGACTGTGTGGTAATCAGACAGCTTAACATGGACATGGAGACAGTTCTGTGCAGGACCTCTGTTACAAGGCCATAACTACTGGGACAACACAGCATGGTAAAACTACTTACAATAATAAAACCTACATTCACCAGCCTTGCATGTGTAAACCAGCTTGATCGGAAAGAGAGGGTTTGGCTTTGGGAAGCAGTGGGGAGCTGTTCAGCACGCGATACTGCCTGCAGTGTGCGCTCACTTGTAAATGTGGGTATCCACTGCAATAGACTTTTTTGCAAGCAATGCATCAGCAAAATGCTACTTGGTGTCTGGATATCAGCACGTGCAGCTGTGGAAAATCTAGCTTCACACTTTGTGTGTATATGTGTCCTGTTAAAAAGTGGAAGTGTGTGTGGTTGTGGGGTGTGGCAGTGATGAGTTTTACCACTCATTTACATTTACAGACGTAGGATGTAGAAGTGCAAACATGAGGAGCTACAGGATGTTACAGCAGCCTGAGATTGTTTTCAAGTAAACTTGTAAACTTCCCATATAAATAAACCCGAGTGTATTTCTGTCTGCCTCACTGCCTCATATAAAAGTATATTCAAGCTACAAACACGCCCAATTTGTAAATTATTACTACATTGTAATCCATTACACCTAACTCTGCAATACAGTCACTAAAGTCCATAAAATGGCAGTAAGATTGTTTGTATGTGTGTTTCTGTTGGCTCTAAAATGAAAATAAAAAGGGCTCATTCTGGTGTTTCGCTGTTGTGGAGCTGGAATTTATATTTAATACATGGATTTGAGCAAGTAGAAAAAAAACGATTAAAGAAAAAAGCTCAAAGGGCGATGTACGCAGGCTTTAATTCGGAAATATGTCTCAAGCTTCAAAGAAACTGGCTCCCATAGGAGACTGCTGCATGAAACAGACAGCAAACAACACAAGCACGCATGAAATATGCACCTTAGTAAGTATAAATCTAAATGACGTGTTATAAAACAAACATGTATAAACAGAATTTGGGGTGAAAATATGAATAAAGTGCTGTAAACCAGCATTTTTTCTAATTAGCAAAAGGGGCCAAAGCAGCGGCGGAAAGTGGACTTTTCATTTTTCATTTGTTCGTGAGAGATGACCCACAGCTCTTTGGATCGCCGACCTCAGTGAACACTTTTCTGATGTCTTTCTGGGCTCAAGTACAAATTTCTAAGTACTAAGTTCTTTTTCACATCTTGGCCATTAGCAGAGCCAGAAAG